TTTGCATGAATTGTTAAAGCACCGCCATGTTTCGTGACTACCCACCCTTGTTTTGTTTCTCGAAAGCAAAATTGCCTTCGATTCGGTGGATCGGCGGGCACTTTGAGACTATCTGCTGATTAAAGGTGTGCCAGGTAAATACGTACCCATAATCAGAGCGCTGTACGCGCATAGTTTGGGCAGAGTGCGGGATCAATGCAAACGGTCGTCACCCTTCCGTATCTCCAACGGCGTGAGGCAAGGTTGCCAGCTATCACCTTTCCTCTTTAACTTCGTCGTTGACGAAGTCATGAAAGCAGCGTTCAGTAGACACGACCTACAAAGTGTGGAGCTACTTCCTACTGACCTACTACTTGAGTCGGAGTATGCGGATGATATAACTTTTATCTGTGACAGCTCGTAAACGCGCCAAACAGCACTGCACCGATTAGCACAGGCTGTCAATCCTTTTGGGCCATGCTTTGCTCCATCAAAATATACAGTATTTCTCTAAGATTGGCAGCTGCCAACTCTGCGCTGATCATTGGTGGTGATCAGCTAGAAGTCGGTCAGGAATTCCAGTACCTGGACAGCTTTATTGGCGCCCATGGGATTAAAGAGGAGGTTATGAACCATTTAGCAAAAGCACGAGGTGTTTTTGCGAATCTCCGCCACCTGTGGCGCAGACGCTACATTACTATCGCCCTGAAGGTCAGAGTTTATCAGGCAGCCGTCCGTTCAACTCTTTTATACGGTTGTGAAACCTGGCTCTTCAGGTCCACAGACATAAAGAGGCTAGTCACTTTCGATCACCGCTGCCTTCGCAGCTGAGCTCATGTGTGGTGGGAGCATCGCGTGAGCAATGGGCGACTTCGGCGTCGCGTGTCTGGTGCAGGAAGAGCGAGTGAACCGTGCAGCACCACACACCAGGCTCCGATGTCTGGGCCACTTGTTGTGCATACCAGCACTCCGAATCCCGTGAGGTATGTTGTCTGCACGCTGGGAGTGAGGATGGAAGAGGAGTAGTGGAAGCCAAGTGATTGTTTGCTCGAGAGAAATGAAAAACCTTACTTCGAAGATGGCGTTCGCTGGTGCGTACCGACTTCCTGGTTGGGCCCGAAGGATGATTAAAACGTTTGGTTTGACAGACGTGCTATTATGGCGAGGTGCGGACCCCAGTGACGTTTGTATTGTGAGTTTCTTTGTCAACCCCTTCCGCTTTAGATTCCCCCGCAAATTACAATCGCATGTGAAATGCATAAAATAATGTTTAACATTACCTTAGTTTATTTTAGCTTCCTTTTCGGTGTAAGTTTTCCAGTATCTTTGTTTTTGTATTGCGGCACATTAGCTGAGGTGTGTTTAGCACCCTCAGCTGAAGTGTATTTATAACGAAAAATTGAAGATTAGCTCGAAGACAGGCGCCGTCTGCATCGCTGTGAGCGGGCGGTACCTAAAATGTTTGGGTAGTCGTTTACTGAAAACAGCCTAATATGTAACTTTCATTTGTTATTTCATTAACGTAACATAAGCCCAATACTATGTAGTTTTACATGTAGTAAACTAGTTTAACAACAATTTGAATGACAATGGTTCCACTATCGTTAAAAGGTAGTACGGATATTAATGAAGTGTTGATATTAACGACACTATCTTATGCTCATATTCCTTTGGACGAGAATTCAAATATAGGGATCAGTTTACACACAGTTATAAATTTAAAAAGAGAGACATTTATGTCCAACTTAATGTCAAATCTAGCATTATGACATAATGTTAGTCATACATTCAAACTGCATCCAACGTATCTGTTATTTTTATTTGTTTGCATTAAATTCATACACACAAATGTCTCACCTTCTGTTACATCTTTCTACGCCACACCAACTAAATTGGACTTGATATAAGTGCTATCATGTCACTGAAAATTGGAGCCATGAGGGCCAACGACAACCGGGGTGCTACTACGAAACGAAAAGCAAATGTGATGTGTGAAGTTGCCTCAAAGTTAGCAATGTCGAAAGCACACCAATCGTGTCACCTAGTACTCCTGCATCCTAAAGTGATATAGGTGTGCTCAAAACCCGGGGGGAGGTCAATTCTATTGCTTTCCGCTGGCGGCGCTTAAAATGACAAAACATCCGCCCAGCGTACTTCTGGATACCTTTTGAGGGCAAACACAAGCTAATTATAATGAAGATTCGTAGAATCCTTAGTTATCAGTGAGGTTATTTTTGGACACAACCTAATCCGAAAAACAACCTGACAACATCGTGGCATAATGCACACATCTGATTTAGTTTGCGTGATGGTGAGACTTAATGCGTGAGATATCCGATTATGAAGAGTTTTTAAAGAACAGCAGCACTAATAGCAATTTGTGAAAGTTAAAATTCGTATAATTTACGGCATAGTTTCTCATAACCTAGCAACGTCCCGCAGCGGTTTATGAAGCTATGATTGACAGAGTAAATTTGTCATGTTACACATTTTGACGGTAAACACATTATGCCTAGTATTCCTTGTGCACATCTCATTCCCAAAGCAGCAACTAACGCTGCCTAACTACTGTGTATCACCATCAAGATAACCAATAACAGCAGCAGTCAATGATTGGGTTTGCCTTTCATCATTTCCTGCTACCTGAGTGCTATGAATTCTGTGTTGGCGATGCCACCACGAATAATGGCAAAAAGTGTTAGCCTGATGCGGATTGGACAACTATTTTGTGTCAGTTCTTTGTTGCCTGGTTTCACTTTGCTACCGTTTGTTTATTGCTATTTGTTTAAACGTAGCAGTACCTTGCTTTGATTGGCTGGCCCACGTCGTTCGTAATGGATGTAACCTCAGGGGTCTATTTCCGCTAACGCCGGTTCCTTGAACCCGACCTGATTGGTATTTTATTCTACCATTTCGCATTCGCCTGCATTATTCAGTTTCTCAGACATTGGGAGTTAGCTCCAACGTGTTTGATTAACCTGGCTTCCACTACTGCTTTACCTTATATAAATGAGCAGATTACTCGAGTAAAACTCGGTCCTGGCTCAACGAGTTGTTCTTCTTGCGGTTGTTGGGACGTGAACAGTCAGTGGCGACACAACAAAACTTTTGTAGTCAAGATGCGCAATTCATGAACACCACAACAACTGAACAAGCCTCCCAAGCTACCAGTATTCCAAATAATTTTTAGCAATACTAAACTTGCAGGCTGATAACTGACAGCCGTACCAGCTCATTGACCTACTGATCATCGAATAATAAGCAAAGGGCAGGAAACTAAGCGTATAACCTTTTTGACCTATGCAAAAATTCTGTGCTTATACGTCCATTTATACTGATGAAACCTCCAAGGTGTGTGAATGGGCGAGTTACCTGGAGTTTCCCGACGTGAAGTGTCAATGAATCATCAAGTATCTGGTGGTTCTGCAACAAAATGCACACCTTGAATGGGCGAAGCACATGCTAACTGCTGCCTTCACTCTAGAGCAATTATCCACATAAGCAGAATAATCAAGATAATTTGGATTCCTATGGGCAGTGCAACAACACAGAATTATGACATTCCGCGACTTAAAGCCCCACGATTGAGTCCACGACGAAGTTGAACATAAATGTGGTACCCATAACCAACTGCCGAATGACGTGTTGCGGGATACACATACGACACATCACCGCAGATTCTGACTCGGCATTAGGTTTCCTAGTATAATACATGTAAAGTGTTCCATATTTCATTGGAACTCTTTTTCGTGCAAGTGTTTGGAACAGAATAGATAGTTTGACGGCAACAAAAGCACGCCTTAAATTCAGCAGCTCTACCGCAGTCGAGCTGCGGTACATGTGATGCCGTTCTAACATATATTACAAAGTAAATATATGATCTATATGGCACCGTTTTGGGCAGAAACCGGTCTGCATATTTCATAATCACGGATTCTTGTTTCGCTGAGAGAAGGCGAACGATAGCATAGGAGAATAATTATGTCACCACTTGTTTAGCTTAACACCCCTACGTCAAATACGTACGGTGCGATTAATTTCAATGCATATTGTCACTATGCTGGATTCCATCTAGCTAGCTGCGATGGTCTCTTGCAAACAACGATGTTTGAACAAATAGATGTTTTCAGACCGTTATAAAATCATGAGTTATCTACCGGGTCCAATCGTTTCAGTGGTTAACGCTAAAAGATGGTTGGAATGGTAAAAGTTTGGTCGTATTGAAACTGCCGTCCATCAAAACGGGAGTTGCAGAAGTAAAGATAATAATGAGAGTGAAAGGAAGTAACGGAACAACTGGAAACTAATAAAGGTAAACATTAGCAGTAGTGCGTTTTAAAGCTGTACGACGGTAGATGCAAGATAAAGTTGATGTTCGATGAAATAGTCCTAGGTGTACGTCGGCTGAGATACTGTCAGGGCAACTGTCAGGAAAACTATTAGGGTCATCACCCGAAGCTTTTGCTTTTATGTCGTTGCGCGAGACAGCTTTGGATGGCACAAGATTTGCTTTCCTAAGATGAACGGTGTCCAATCTGCGACCCTCAACTTGGAGGATCACGGGCCTGAGTTCGCCTGTTCTCTTACCGTTGTCTAACCTGTCGGGAGAAGCTCACAAGTTACCTAGACATTAACACCCGGTATAGGTTAATGGGTTGGAGGTACACCAGCGGTCGCAACACGTTGTGGTTTAGTCTGGTTGCGATGTAAGTTTCATGTGATTGTAGCGTTAGTAGCAGATCCAATACTTAGCCTACTAAATGAATCTCTGAGCGTAAAGCGCGACAGTTCTTCAGGTCATATACCAAATGTTTAACAGCATTTGGGCTGAAAGATTAGAAAATACAGTGCAACATAGCCAAAGTGAAGCATAAAGTTTGTTATGAAAGCTGTTACACTTCACGCTGATTTGAGTGAACTAAAGGGTTTCTGACTGGTGGTCGACGGTGGGTAACACCTACACGCAATTAAAATGATATTACAAGAGTCTTGGTGGAATGCAATTCATTGTTGATACTCACCAGTTCCGATACACACGAAGCTTCGTAAGGTGTGGAACTCAGCTGGAGACACAGATTTTCTATCGAACGCACCAATATAGACCGGTAAGCATCCAGCTGACCGCGGAATTGATTCAAAATTCTCAAACTTTCTGCGTGTGTTCTGCGAATTTCGCGAGTAGCATTTAACACTGAGTTGATGCTGGGAGTTAGTTGGTCTGACACATTAAACACTGGCAGAATCTTGTACGATTCCAAAAGTGCATCAATAACTCGGTTCGCGGCGTTACCTATCTCTATCTGAAGAACCGGGAAGAAAGACATGTTAAGTTTGAATATATCCCAGAGAACATGCTTATTATTTAAAAATAGAACAGTACTAAAATAATTGTCTACATGTGTTTGAGTAACCTTTACTGAAACACTAATTATGTTACTGTGGTTACCTTGGGTAGAACATTATTCAATTAATTTGAGTCACATAAATGACAGGCTCGGGGGCACATGTTCACCTACTTCTACTGATCTCTCCCAAGCAATTCCATTGAGTCATTGCTCATAATTTACCAGCCTGTAGTGGCCTGATAATTTCACTGTCGTAAGTAAGACGGAAAAGACGGATGTATCAAACAAACGAGTTCAGCTGAATTCATTTTGTCGTTGGGAAATTCAAGCATACTTCAGATTACACGCAAGGTATGGAGCACATTGAGACTTATAGCACTCCAAATATCACCACTCTTCCGTTGTATGAATAGTAACCTACCCGAAGTCTTCTTCCACCATGTAGACTCTGCAGCAAGTGAAGTTTTCATATAGACAAATTCGTTTGATTCCTTAATAGGTTATGATAAATGAGGAAAGCATGGACGCTGTTGACTTTAAACCACACCAAAACGATCCGGATATCTCAGCGTATTACATACGGGTCATATTCTGGAAGAATCACATCAATAGGCCGTTACAACCAATATTTAGGCTAACAATATTTCGTTCCATTCATCATTCGATAGATATGTCTAGGTGGATATTGGCATGCAATTTTCCACCCAATCCTGGACTCACCTGTCAGAGCTCTCACTATCTACTAGTTTATCAGATGCAGACTTTCAATAAATAATTAGTAAAAAGTTCGAATCCAGCAGAAATCTTGTACTAAAGTTCAGTGAAACAAGTAGGCTATCGCTAACGTTCAGAAAACATGCAACACATAGTATTTCCGTACTGCCTAACTGAAAATAACCTAAGTCGATAGGAAATATGATAAAACCAGTGGACTTATTTATGTAAGAAAAACAGGCACTGCTAGAGCCTAGTAACTTCCAGAGCAGGCAGGTAAAGTGAATGCAAGACACTAAAGAGCTGCTGCATTTCTTTATGGTAAGATGATCTAAATTGCATACAGCAGAAGGAATAACACGTACTTGCAATTTCGCCAAAGCTTAACAGACAAAATATTAAAAGTATATTGGAAATTAGGTTACAAATACCTTTTGGTTTTACTTATGAGTGGAAGGATTTTGGTGAGTATTTTTATTCGTCGCAATCAGCCGACAATTCAGATATGTCGACCAGCTATCCGGAAAAGCACCAGACGGCCGTTTCGCTCTATTGGGGCTCATCAGCGGTGCGCATCCTTCAGTCCTCTGCGGAGGATCGAACCCATGACTGCTAGTGGCTCTTGCCAACTAGCCCGCAGCTCATGCAACTGCGCCATGGAGGACGGTGCTTTTCCGGATGGCTGGTAGACATATCTAAATTGTCGGCTGATTGTGACAAATAAAAATAGCTTTTGGTTTCTTTAAAGCCCTGTACCAACTTACGTATACAAGTGACGCTCTTCCGAGTTGATTTAAATATCGGAACATACTACATAGCTGTGTAGAATAAGCAGATTGCGACTTATCCACTAACACCTTTTGTTAATGTACCACGCCGTCAAATACAGCAGATGAGTTTATCAGATTCGAGGCAGTCATCAAGCATTTAAACGCACCCGTCTTGGGTTTTGTTTAGTTAACCAACGCAGCCAAATCCAACGCGGCTTGTCTGTCCGCCAGACGTTTGCAAACTATCCACTTCAGAAAACCCACAAATAACCAGCTGAAGCAATCAGCAGTCTTATAGATAAAAGTATATAAGAGGTTGCTTCTAAACTAATGGTCATCAAGTACAAACAGGGGTTGTTATGTTATTGAATTCGCTTGCTAAAATATTAAAACACTTGTTGCCTGTCCGTTCTTTACCAGTGGTAGAATTTATTCAAGCACACGAGGTATGCAGATCATACCTAGCCAAGAAAGTCATGTTGATGCAGAAAGTAATTGGGTGGGGCCAACCCATAACACTGTACACCACGACGCGTTTCGACGTTATTTGACCTCATCGAGTAGAGTTAATAGGTTTCGAACCCGCGACAATTCGAATATTAGCCGAAAACACCTTTGACTACCGGGTCACGACATACAACGCTTGGCACAATAGTTAGTGGCAGAGTATGGACTCATTTTAAACAAACTATATCAGTTTAATGCGCTCAACTAACGTCGAAATTCGACGTGGATTACAGTGTTTTTAGGCGGACCATATCCAGTTTCCAACTGTTTCAACTAAGATCCTGGTGATCGAATGACCGAGATTCACTTCAATGAGAATCGCGGTCCGACTTGAGACTACGCGTAGCAGTATATTTTAGCAGATGCTTTAAAATGTCTCCCAACTCAGGCAGACGCATTTGCTCCTAATTTAGTGGAATTTACTTTGACTTACCTAGGTAAAACCTTTCGTGATTAGGACCAATATTGCACTTTATATATATGTATATATATATATATATATATAAATGCTTGCTTGCTTACAACCGTTGTGATATAGTGGTCAATGTAGCAATATATGAGTGTGAATTACATATCCACAAAATGCACATTTGCGATTTTATCCTTCCTGTCCTAATCGTCGACATTTGTCTTAATTTAATTTTGTTATTCCCGTTCTGCATAACCACGAGGGCACGAAGGATGACCGTGACATTTGTTTATTCGCATCACTGTGGTTAACCGAACCACCGTCATGGCGGCTCATAATGCCTTCACTTGCTGACTGCTGCTGTCCGTCTCCCTAATGCGACCCGTTTAAGGCTGTTCGGGAATACAGAGTGCTGGGATTGTTTCGGCTCACTGTTGAGCAACATTGAGGCTATGTCCACAAACCTAGTCGTACGTCAGTTATATACATTTAAATTTACTTCTACAGAACCACGTTTAAGACTTCAGCTACGTCGAGTTTCGATCCTTTTGTCCTGGGAAACAAGCCGTGCGTGAGACTAGGCTTTTGCACTGACACCTAAAATGAGGTTTGCTGAAGCACTGGGTTCCATGTATAAGTCCAAATCACGCCATGAGAGGACGGGTGTTGTATGATGACATCATTTCGCGCTTTCCGATCACATGCAAACGAGCGACGTTTAAGTATCACAAAAGGGGAATTCAATGATTTGTATGGTGTCAAAATGGCATGGAAGAAACATTAGGGCATGAACCAACAGAATTATAGACTTTGTGATAAGTGCCACTATCCTCAAGGAAGTTTGCAGGTGACAGTAAAATGTTCTTGCACACATAGGTCCGGACGACTGTGATTAATTGCCACAGCCTACGCGAGCTTGAGTATCATGTCGTCTTCATTACGGTAGTTAACCGTAAATGCGAATTTTGAATCAATTTGATGTCCCGTTCCTAGTTGATGTCTGGCTATGTATGAAGCTGGAAATTCGGATCTTGACAATTGTCCCTGTGATTGTTTTGCCACAAGTGTAGCAACCAATTTCGGGATGTGATCACCGGTCCGCTTGCACAGACACCTTTTGGGTCTACAGATGTAACTGCTTCCACGCTTAAAAACAAAGTTGCAAATGTAATGTGTTGTGGCAGAGACCGATCGCTTAAGCTTAACGGATGGAGTTGCTAACTTACTGGTTGTCCATATTGGACAGAGTTTTGCAGCACTGAATAGATGTTGAAATGCTGTGGCAACATCCCGCTCGATTTGCGTAGCAACGTCATCCCCTTTGTATGGCAATTGGAAATATACGGGTATATTTTTACACTGTAGGGGATTTGTTTGTTCCCTTCCGTTGTGCGACCGTGAAAGTTAATAAATGCTGTCGGGTAGCCAGTTACCTTTAGTGTCTATGTGCTGAACTGCAATTCAGGTTTGACACATTCTGGACTGTAATTTCTACGAGCTGGTTGGAACAGCGTTTTGACGACGCAACATTCAAACCGCACCGGTATGAAGTTACTCAAGTTTCCGCAAAACCCTGTCCAAGTGGCTTTTCGTAAGATAGAACGTCTTATCGAACGGTCGTATTTGCTAGTCGAAAGTATATCCAAAAAGGCAGACACTTGTTGTTCTCTAACTCACATGTAAAATGGGCTTCCCGGTTTATGTTGTTCACCACCTCGAGAAAGCGTTGGGTGGGACTGATATTGAGAACGATCACTAGTGTATCGCCAACGTATCGCACGAAATGAAATCATCGTGCAACACCCGTCTTCGCATCGTATTATCCACACCGATTTAGGCTTTTCTTTAAAAAGCAATTTAGACGACTTTGAACGAGCTACTAATAATTAAATTTCCAGCCGTTTTCAGCAGGAAATGATGTTATTCTGCGGCATTCCTTTGATGAATACGACGTCAAAACATTGGAATGCATATGTGGTTCATCTCTTGGTGTTCCTCCCACATTTGGCCAACTTATTACAGTAAATCTGAAGCATTCCAGATTAGGTAATCCGGATCATTATAAAAAGTAAAGGTCAGATTACTGCTATAATAGTCATTAAATCATTCACTACGTTAAGCTGACTACTTCGCTGTTTTCTGAACATAAGGAAATACCGAACCCAACGTTGCAGCCCCAAGATTTGTTGCGATCCGCCGAAAGTTGCTAGTTTCATTATACCAGCTGGTTTACTTTTTCATCTTTCAAAGTAATGATACGAAATTTATTAAAATGTGACTGTACTGGCCTACAATCGTAATTGTGCAAGTTTTAGTCATAGTTAGAACGGTATTTTAACATGACGCATTCCACAACGTCTCAATTTACCGGCTCTAACAGAAGTAAGGTTGTATACACTTTTGAGTTTTCTCTATGATGTAGTAATAACAGTAGCCTAGCTGAAGTATTGTATTTTCCAGTCTTTGGTGCGGACCAAACTTACATCTGTTTTCATAAATTTATGTATTGCACTCCCGCCGTGAATCGGCATAAAGTTAACGCTTTTTCCCTCAGT